ACAGATAGTCAAAGTTAGCCAATACGATTGGAATAAAACTGTCAGTAGACAATGTGTTTACAGATAGTCAAAGTTAGCCAATACGATTGCAATAAAACTGTCAGTAGACAATGTGTTAACTTTGACAACACATGTTTGTGAATAAAATCAGTGTCTTCCCTTCTGATGGCGTGCTCTCGTCTTCTTCATCCTTTGTAGTTTTGATAATGAAGTACTGCCACTGGCTGTTGGTCCTGGTGTACCAAATGAGGCAGCAGGCACTGCACTGGATCCAGTACCTATGATAAAACAATATGCATAATCAAGTACTCTTTTGACTAAACTGATAAAGCAACTTGATAAAAAGTTTTCAAAAGTTATGACATATCCTGCAGTCTCCTTTCAATATGAATGATTCACTTGTTTTAATTGAGGGAAAACAAATTTAATCAAAGCTTAGAAAGAGCTTCCATGCACTGAGAGTATTAAAAGCATATTTAAATATGTTTAAAAAGTTTGTATTGAAAAAAGCAGTGTTATTCATGAGGGGTTTTAACGAGGTGTCGCATCATTATCAGAAATTTTCGTCCTGTTTAAATAGTCAGCATCTGTTAAATTTCCTAGGTGAATTGTTTCCAATATTGACCATCACACATTTTGTTTCTAAGTATGACTTCACACATGTAACAGGATTTGCGTAACTGGTTCATTGTTGTAAGGTGTAACTGTGAAAATGCACTGTAGCAGATGATAATACCACCAAACAAAATAGTTGGAAGATTTTGAACACAATTACAAATTAACATTGGGCCAAAAAATGCATTTTCCATATTTTCATGGTCAACATGACCTCAAATTTATATACTTAGAACTGTAAGCAGCAACAATGTCACCACCTAGTGTAAACAAACGTAGCCATTGATATAATTGGTAAACAACCAATTTAGCCAATGTACTATCACCGAGATTGCTGATCACCAAGAAGTCACACAAATGCTTGGAGAAATACATAAATGGTTTTATTTTGACAAATGCCACTGTTTACCTTGATGAAAAAGCCATGCTTTCAACTCAACAGAAGTGGAGAAAATAAATTTGTGTTCTTATTTGGAACAAATATTCTGATTGGTTGTTTTTCATGTCAATGCATGGCTTTATCAAATCAAATCCATTGTTACATAGTATCACACTGCCTTCACAATACCCTTTTTTGTGGCTCTGAGAGAACTCTATAACATACCGGCTGAGAAATTGAAAGGAGCACTTGCAGTTGTTTGTCCAAATTTTCCTGCAACAAAACTTGGTACTGGCAATGATGAGGTCTGAGTTTGTCCAAACTGAAAAGTGGTACCACTTCCTACACCTTGGCCTGGATTTTGTCCTGCAGAATAGAAAATCTCAAATTAGGAATTACGTACAGCACATCAAACAGCACATCAGGTAACATTACTACATTAAGAATTATCAGTAATTTGGTGTAATCTTGTTTATGGAAATTAAAAGGGTTTATGTCAAATATAAATGGACTCTCACCTGTGGCAGCACTGGCTGTAAAGTTGAACCCTGTGGAATTTTGTGCTGCTTGTTGTTGTTGTGCTCCAAAATTGAAACCTGCTGATGGTTGCTGAGCTTGTCCTCCAAAGCCCGTTGATCCAGCACCAAAAACGCCACCTCCACCTACAGTGGCTCCAGTTGCAAATCCTGACTGTACACCACTTTGAAATGTTGAAGCAGGGGCTGTACCTCCAAATGCACTTAATGTTGCAGTAGATGTGGTTGGTGCACTGCTGGAAGGTCCACCAAATCCTACAGGAGGTGTAGAAGATCGTACACCAAATCCAGAGACTCCAAGAGTAGTACCAAAACCTAGTGTTCCACTTGCTGGAGCTGCTCCCATCCCAGTACTAGCTGCTGTAGTTGCACCCCCAAAACCTGAGGTTGCCATGCTAGGAGTACTAAAACCTGATGGTACTGCTGTAGAAGAAGTCAGACCAAAGCCACCAGTAGAATTTGTTCCAAAGCCTGTCACCATGGAACCTGTTGGCAGTCCAAATACTTGAGTACTAGCAATCGCTGATGAAGCACTGGTAGTAGGAGTTGCCCCAAACCCTGTGACAGGTGCAGCAGAAGGGATCCCAAATCCAGGCATAGTTGCTGTTTTTGTAGCAGCTGCTCCAAACCCAGGCATTGTCCCTGTTGATGGCGCTGTGATCACACCAATGGAAGCTGCTCCAAACCCAGGCCTTGTCCCTGTTGATGATGCTGTATTTGCATCAATGGAAGCAGCTCCAAAGGCAGGCATTGTGCCCATTAAGGATGATTGACCTGCATTATTCCCAAATCCTGGCATAGTTACAGTAGAAGCAGTTGGTCCTATAGCTGTAGATATTACTCCAAACCCAGGCATGGTTCCTGTTAAAGACACTGATGTCCCAAATCCTGCTGCAGTGGTTGTTGCTGTTGCCCCAAAACTACCCAAACCAGTAGCAACTGTTCCAGTTGAAGAAGCAAGACCAGACAAGCCACCAAAAGCAAAGGTCTCTGTCGTAGCAGAAGCTGAAGAGCTAGGGGCAATAATGCCACTTTGGGAGGAAGCAGGTTGTGTTCCAAATACACTCTGTGTAGTTGTGCTTAAACCTCCAGGTACTGTGGCCGTGGAAACACCAGAGCTGGAAAGGGAGGAAGCAGCATTTGTGGAAGCAGTAGTAAATGCAGATATACCAGACCCAGCAGATGCTAAGGGGAAATTGAACTGGCTAGACGGAGCAGATACATTAGTGGCTGCACCCAATCCAAAGCCTCCAATGCCAGGAGCAGTTGTAGAACTGTAAGAGACAGTTTGGGGTTTAACCTCAGTTTTAACTGATGCAGCTGGTTGCTGGAAATTGAAGCCTCCTGCAGCACTAGAATGGTCAGTGGATACAGCCGACTTGAAGTTGAATGTTGGACCAGTTGACTGCAATGTGATAGGTGTAGTTGTTGGAAAAACTGCAGAAAACTTAGTAGATGCAGTTGTTGATGTTACACCTTGAGTTGTAAATGTAGGCAAAGATGCTGTTTTTGCTGCTGTTGCTGCTGCTGCTGCTACTACTGCTGCTGTTGTTGTTGTTGCTGTGACTGCTACTGGTGTTGCTGATGCTACAAGAGATTTTCCAGATGAAGTGGAGCTAAAATTACTAATTCCCCCCAATACAGATGGAGAAGCTGTAGTTGTGGGAGCTGACTGCTGTGACATCTGAAAACCAGCTGATCCAGACACAAGGTGACTTGCTAATCCAGCAGTCTTAGCTGGATATCCTGGTATGACAGCAGCTTGCAAGGTGTTAGACTGTTGAATAGTTGATGTAGTAGTACCCAAATTCAAAACTGAAGATCCATTGGTTGATTGAGTTGGCATTCCACTAAGCATAGCTGCACTACCCGCAGTAAACTGCAGAGCTGGTGTTGCATCAGTTTTAATTCCTGAGAATGTTGAGGGCACTTTTATAGATGCAATAATACTTGCTGTAGTGTTGGGTGCAGTACTTGTTTTGTTGGACAATGTTGATATTTCAGTCTCTGCAAGTCCAGTGCCAGGAGTGTCTTCCTTCAACAAAGCAGCAAGTGTGCTAGTTTTCAATGATTGGTCTTGACTTGCTTCACAAGTCTTCTTTGATGAAAGAAGAGGATTAGCACTCTGAGTTGTCGTTATCACTGTGGCTGGTATGGATGTTGCAGCTATTGATACGGCTAACTGAAGTCCTGTTGCAGTACTTTTTAAAGAACTAATGCTAGATTGGGTGGCTAAACATTCTTTTGTTGTATCTGCAGACAAAAATAAACAAAATACAATAAAAATCAAAAGAGCTGCATGAATGAATGGTTCATGACCGATTTATTTATGGCTATAATTGATAAGAATGTTGCATCAAAACCATTTAACAGCACTTGCTAAACAAGTTCAGACATATCTGCTGTTGATGTTAAGTGTTAAAACACATTTTGTCAATGTCATACATTTGTACTAGCTTCAGTTCAATGAGTACATTGACATTGAATGTCATGAAGCAAATATGACACCGGTTTGTACATTGTTTCGTCTTCATCCATCCACACCAGGAACCAATACACAACTCCTGCATCTGTTATTTGCAGTAATATAAAGTTATTACTCAAACAGTACGCTGCGCGTCTGTCGATACTGCAGCTGTACTGTCTTCGTGCATACTTTGAGGTATTCTCGTAATAACATTATTATTATACATCTTGTCCTCAAAAGGATACACCATGGGAATGTCAAAATCCGAAATGTTTAGAGCAGAATCAGCAAACTTCTTTGTGTGGAGTCCGGTCAAACTCTGGTGGCAGCCATGTTTGTTTTTATCATTAGAGGACGCTTGCGTGCGTAATCATTCCATATTTGGAATTCGCATTTCCTGACATGGTAGGATTAAAATACCCTGTGAAATACCACAATACGGTGACAGATACACAATAATAATGACAGTTACAAAAAACACTATGTAGAAAACAACAATGTCACCAGTGAGTCTACACAAAACACTATGTAGAGAACAACAATGTCACCAGTGAGTCTACACAAAACACTATGTAGAGAACAACCAAGTCACCAGTGAGTCTACACAAAACACTATGTAGAGAACAACCAAGTCACCAGTGA